ACTACAGACTAGTGAGCTCAGTTATTTTCTCGCAGAAGCACATTCTTTATTAAAATCACTGATGCAGAAATAAAATAAAATAAAATAATGAAATGAAATAAAAGAAAGGGCTCAGAACCACTAGTTATTTTCTTTCTTTTTTTTCCAGCTCATATTTGCCTATCATGTTTAAAAATCACATGGAAGACTTTAAAGGTGAATTCTAAATACTTAACAAAATCCCATTTTCATTGAAAATCTATATACAGACAGATCTACTACCTCTCAATCTATTACCTCAAACTTCGTTACTCTCCTGAATCTCCTGCCTAATTTCCTCCTGTGTTTGAGTATGCTTTGAGACTGTTATATTTGTAGACATAGAAAATAAATGTATCTGTTTGCACTCAATGGTGGATACTTTCAATGTAGTAACTTTACTATAGCTATGTCCTTGAAGATAAACTCATAAAAATTAATTTAATTGGCAATAGAGAGGGAGGTTACTTGTTTGCATATTGGTTATACACATAAAGACACAGAAGTTTATTTTTTTATTCAAAATATTTTAACATTTACTTGTACATATTTGTGGGGCACAATGTATAAAATACATGCATATATGCACAGTGATTCACTTAGAGTAGATAGCATAGTTTTATACCCATTAGTCCACCACTTTTCCTCCCCCAAACCACATAACCATTATTCTACTCTCTACTTCTATGAGAACCATTTATTTTTTTAGATTCCACATATGAAAGATATCATGTGGTATTTGTCTTTTTGTGCCTGACTTCACTTAACATGATGATTTCCAATTCCATCCATGTTGCTGCAAGCGATAGTATAGCATTTTTAAAAATAGCTGAGTAGTATTCCATTATGTATACATACCACAGTTTTTCTATCCATTCATCCACTGAGGGACATTTAGGTTGCTTCCATCTCTTGGCAATTGTGAATAATGTTGCAGTGAACATGGGAGTGCAGGTGCCTTTTTGATATACTGGTTTCATTTCCTTTGGATATACTCAGTAGTGGGATAGCTGGGTCTTAGGGTAGATCCCTTTTTAGTTCTCTGAGGAACGTCCATACTCTTCCATAGTGGCTGTACCAATTTACATTCCCACTAACAATTTACATTCCCACTAACAATGTTTTTTCCCTCATCCTTGCCAGCATTTGTTATTTTTTTGTCTTGTTGATAATAGCCATTCTAACTAGGGGGAGATGATATCTCATTGTGGTTTTGATTTCCATTTCCCTGATGATGAGTGATTGTATTAGCCCATTTTGTATTGCTATAACAATACCTGAGACTGGGTAATTTATAAAGAACAAAGGTTTATTTGGCTTACAGTTTCTGAGGCAGGGAAGTCCAAATCCCATCTGGTGGTGGCAACAGTGACCCAGGGGTCTCATGTTGCAATATCGTGGAAGCAGAGAGAGAGAGACTCTCTCTTCTTTTAAAGCCCTCAGGACCATGCCCCTGACCACCATATTTAATCCATTCACTACTCCACCGTCCTACAATCTAATCACCTCTTCAAGGCTCCACCTTTCAGTGACCATAATAGGATCTCCCACCCTCTTAACAGTCTCCATGGGGGATAAGTTTCTAATACATAAAACTTGGAGGACACAATTCAAGCTTCAGGGTGTTTTGGGGGGACATAAGTCAATCCACTACAGTGATGTTGAGCATTTTCTCATGTGCCTGTTGACCATTTGTATAAGACACAGAGTTTTTGAGATAGTTTTCAGCTTTGTTCTATTTGGTAGTCTAAAAATAAGTTGATGGCTAAAATCACATGTATCTACGTGCATAAATAGCTGACATAAAAGCGTCCCCAGTTTTGCTCGGGAGGCCTCTTATTATGATTTTGTTTTCTTTTTCATTGTGATTTTCAAAGATAAACACTGATTTTGTTAACATCTCCCAGAGGTATTATCTAATTGTGTTCCTCTTAAGTGACATTGAGGTACCTCCTAAGAGTTTCTGAGCCAAATTTATAAGGAGGATAAAATTAGTGGGAGGCAGTGTATGATAGTCTTAGAACCAGACGGACCTAGATTTAGATCCAGGCTCTGCCATTTTCTACCTGTGGGAGCTTGAGCAAGTTGCTCTACTCCCTGAGTATTAGTTCCCTCATCTCTAAACAGGGTCATTAATTGCTCTTATCTCCCTAGGGTTGTGTGATGATTATTCACCATCTTTGACTTTGACCACCATGTCTTTCCAGCTCAACCCCCCTAGTATCCTATCTTGGTCAGCTTTTACTTTGTAACAAACCACTTCCCAACTCAGTGGCTTAAAACAACAATGACATACACTCATGTGTCCAGGTCAGCTGGGGATTAGCTGATCTAGGCTGGGCTCAGCTGGGGCGGGTTCACTGTTGCAGCTCTGTGTCACATGTCACTCATCCTCTGGGATCACCATTGATGGCTGGCCCATAGTGTGGTAAACATGCAAGACTGCAGTCCACAAGTGCCTCTCCAGCTTTTGTTTGTATCATGTCCATTAATGTTTCATTGGCCAAAGCCAGTCCCATGGCTAAGCCCAAAGACAAAGGGTGAGGAAGGAAGTGTATTCTACCACAGAGTCGAGTGTGCATGTGTGTGTGAATATATCTGAACAATAATCTAACATAGACTTCCCCTTCCATCAGTTCTTCAACACTAGGAGAACCTTTAATCCATTGACATAACCACCTTTTCACTGTTCATCACTCTCCTTGTGCCTTTACTTCTCCTCTTGCTCTGTTTAGATTTTATATAGTTCATAATGATAATTACTCTAAAACCCAGCCTTGGTAAAACCTGCCTGTCACCTACTCAGTTCCTGCACTGGAGAAGACGATTGTGACTGGAGCAAAACACAGCCCTGCTGACTGGGTTCTCCTTAATTTGACCACAAGCCTCAAGTGGGCCCTCAGCACTGCCTGGAAATCTATTGTCTTCCATTCCTCAGGACACTCCCCCACTTGTATCTCCCTCCTCCACCCCTTAGCACCTCCTTATTGACCAATGATAGGACAACTTTCTTATCTTTTTCTGCACCAAATCCTCCAACTTGCCGGCATCAACATCCACGTGCTCTTCTTTCCTTCACATTGACGGATGAGCTCTGCTCACACTGAAGACCAGCCCCCTCACGTACACTGATCCCTCCTCTCCTTCCTGCTCAAGAATGATCCCTGTCCTGTCTTGCATCATCGGTTCCTCCTCTTTTGTGTCTTTCCTCCTAGCGTGCAAACCTGCTGTTATGTCTCATCAAATTCCTCTGTAGACCTTATACTCAGTCCTCTCCTTTGTTGTGCTCTTTTTATTCTGCTCCCCTTTATTGAAAAATATCTTAAGAGTTGCCTTTACTTGCTATCCCTACTATCTTCTGTCCTCTTTTAAACCTATTCTAATCTGGGTACCCTTGCCAAGGCCATCAGTGACTTCCATGCTGCTAAAATCCAGCAGTCTGATCCAACAATTCTGGTTCTAGATATATCCTTGAAAGAATTGAAAGCAGAGACTAACAGATAT